TGCAGCTATAGGAGCCTAGAAAGACTACCCAGCTGAGAATAAGAGCTGGGAATGGGTGAGGTGGGAGGGTACAGACAGAACCAAATCACAACTCGGGGGGTGACCTAGGGTGTAGTACTGGATCCACCATTCACTTCTGCTTCCTCAAATAATAAACATGAGATCTTTCTTTTTGTTTGTTTTTGTTTTTATTTTTTGGTTTTTCAAGACAGTTTGTATCTTTGGAGCCTGTCCTGGAACCTACTCTGTAGACCAGGCTGACCTCAAATTCACAGAGATCTGCCTGTCTCTGCCTTCCAAGTGCTGAGATTAAAGGCATGTGCCACCACCATCCAGTTTGAGATAATTTTTAAAAGGAAAAAAAAATAATCACAGGTAGGTTAAGGACACTAGTAGCTCTTTCCTGGTTGCTGTATCCAGCAGGACCTAGACTGTGGCTTCCTAACCTGGCCTGAAGGGTTAGGTTGACTGGAATTGCCAGCCACTCTGAGGTCAGGACAGAGTGTGTCACTTCTGGCCAGATTGACCTGGGTCTGGTGGGGTTGAATTGAGGCTGTGACTCTTCCATAGAGGAAAGAGCAGTAGATGGGACCAGAACACTGCTTGGTCTTTAGTGAGTATTAGAGGCCAGGGAAAGCCCTAGAAAATGCTATCTCTCGTATAGCCTGTTGACTACTTAGGGCTGCAGACTTCCCTCATAGGATTGCTAAAGGGCCTCAGCTGAGGGAAAATGAGATGAATTGATGCTTTCTGATGAGCAGGATTGGGGCTCCATTAGTGGGTTATAGAGTGTGGATACAGGCCAGTGGTGGCCAGGTCTGTCAGACATCAAGCAGAAAAGTGACATCAAACTCAGTAGTACCTGTGTATCAAGGACCCAGGGCTCCCTGTCCCAGGAGCTGTGTGCAGGCATAAAGGATCACCTATGAGCAGATGATGTGCCCCCTCTAGAACGATCCTTTCACTGTCTCTGGCTTCCCCCAATGAGGCAAAGCAAGAGGGCCTGAAGTGCCACTTAACTGCACTAGAACCTACATCTAGCAAGTAAGTGGATGACTGAATTCAGGGGTCTGGGAGGATTTGTGTGTGTGTGTGTGTGTGTGTGTGTGTGTGTGTGTGTGTGTGAAAGAAAGAGAAAGGAACAGAACACTTGTTCCTTTGTGTCTTTCTTACAGCATCAGGAAAGACCCAAGTTCCTGCTTCTTTGTGTCATTCCTTTTCTGCAGCACTCATGACAAGATAATTGGGTCTCCAATATTCAGCCACGGTGGGGAATTGTGGTCAGGACAAATTGGTTGCCCAGGGCTAGCTCCTGGTTAAACAAAAAGATGGTTTGCAGGCTTCCAATGCAAGGAAGAATAGTGGGAAATAGGAATCTGGGGAGCCAGTGAGGGTCTTGATGTTGCCCAGGTGATCTGTTGACATCTCTCTCTCTGAAGTGGGCCAGACTCTCTCTAGTGAACACAGAACTTTGCCCTGCAAGAAAGGCTAAAGGCCATCAGCCACAGTTAGTCACTAGCAAAAAACAAACAAAAAGTCAAACAGCCAACTTTTCCTAATGTTCCTAGATGAGCCCGGAATCTCGTGTCATTCTAGCACACAAGACTTTGAAAGGACTATGTGGGGCTTGCTCAGCAGAGAGAATTGACAACCTCAGCCCATGCCTGATGGTTTCCATTCAGCATACCAAGGAGCCAGGCCCTCCATGGGGAATTAGAGGAACCAAACTCAGTCACTGTGAGCCTGGATTACCCACACTCACTGGACCAGTTAATGAGAACAAAAGTGACTGCTATCTGTATACAGATGAGGAAACAGCCAGGGAAAAAGACTGCCTGGAAGCCCACGGGGCTATGCAGCTGGCTGCAAGTCTGATATTTGCTGCTAGATTCATATCTCTCTCTCTCTCTCTCTCTCTCTCTCTCTCTCTCTCTCTTGTGAGTGTGTTTGTTTGTGGGTGCACACTACAAAAATCTGTGTAGTCGTCAAAGGACAACATTTGGGTGGCTCTCTCCTTCCACCATATGGGTCCTGGGATTGAACTCAGGTTGTCAGGGGACAAATGCCTTTACCCACTGAGCCACCACTTTCCCCACGCCCAACACACATCTTGTTTTTGAGATATAATATTCCACTGACTTGGAACTTCACAAGTAAGCCTCAGGGATCTGCTCTTCTGTCTCCCCAGAACTGGAATGACAAGTGAATGCTACCATATCTCCTTTTTATTTCTTTTAACAATGTAGACTCTGGGGTGTTGAACTTAGGTCCTCATGCTTACAAGGCAAATGCTTTACTGACTATTCCATCTCCCCGGGCAGATGCTGGGTCTTGCTGATAGTGGATGTGGCATATTCCTAGGCCACCTTAAAGCATAGGTAGGTATCCCCTCATCAAAGATGTCTATGTTTCTTTGCTTCCTACCCCCACAGGTTAAATTTGTTCCCTTTGTGTGTGTGTGTGTGTGTGTGTGTGTGTGTGTGTGTGTGTTGTATGCCTGGTTCCTATGTTTGACAGGGATCTGCTTTTTACATATGCTGTTCTAAGTATTTACTGCACATACATACAGAGCCACTAATGATTTTCTTGCCTCCCCACTGTAGAGACAAGGTCTTTTTTGTAACCTAGGCTGCTCTAAAGCTTTTGGTTCTCCACTTCAGCCTACTGAGTGCTGGGATTAGGGTCACATGCCCAGTTGTTGCCTGGCTTATGTTCCTTATTGTTATTTTTAGTGGTAATAAGACAAATTACTGTTGACTTTCACAGAGTTCTTGGCTCATAACTGAGATCCTCAGTGTGCTCTTGCTCTTCCTTAAGTGAGAGAGTGCCAGGGCAGGTGGGTGGTATGTAAGGAGATGGCTCCTATCACTAATCTTTCAGTAGTTGCTGTCACAGGCTTGGTTGCAGCTAGGATTATGGAGTCCTCTGGCCATCACTGCCTGCTGGGGACCATATGGTCAGATATGACTGGGAAGCCAGGGCAAGTAGCTTATGACAGGGCTGTTCATCCATTTACTGAAGCCCATCTGCCCATGATTGTTGGGTCCAAGTGTCCAGCAACTGGACTACACAGCATTTGTTCAAGCTCTGGTCAGTTCTACATTGAGAGAGCTTTCCTCATTACTGTTTTTCTCCCTTGTTTTGAGACAGGGCCTCATGTAATTCAGGCTGGTGTCAAAATTTCTAATAGCTGGGAATGACTCTGAACTCCTGATCCTCCTACCTTTGCCGCTCAAGTTCTGGGATTACAGCTGTGCAGCACTACTGGTGTATATGGTGCTGAGGATCAAACCCAGGGTTTTCTGCTGTTAGAAATTACAACAGAACTGCCTCCTTTGCCCCTCATTCTCCTTTCTATAGATGTGTATCTAGTATTACTCAGCAGTGTTCTTTCTACACATGAAGCCAATGAAAGCACCTGCCATTGGTTGCTCTTTATCTACCAGCGAGACAGACGAAACACATAGTAACAAATCAATAAGTAAAGTCATTTACAAAGTTTAAATGCCAAGGAAAAACAAAGAGCAGAGGAGGTGAGTGGGAAGAATCCCGGGTGTGGGGGAGTGAACAACTTGAGTTGGTCTGAGAAGGTAGTTCCATAGCATAGCCCATACAGTGCAAAGCCCTGGGTTTGATTTCCAGGACTGAAAAAAGAGGTATTAACCAAGACTGGGATTGGGTGAGCAGCCAAGTGGGTCAAGCCCATGTTGAAGTCCTGGGGGTGGGGTGGGGCTGGTGTGTTCTCTGAACAGCCAGGTAGAGACTGGCCCAGGCCACAGGCTAAAGCCAGTGACCCTGAGACTGGTGGGAGAGGCCATCAGTGTAGATACTGGGATCTTGAGGGACCTGGAAGGAGTTGAGTTAGGCTTTCAATAACTGAGTTTTGCTCAGAGAAATAACATGCTCTGATTTAAATTTTAAAAGGGGGGCTGGGGTTGTGCTTAAGACCTGATTTCAAGCCCAGCACAAGTTGCCTATAACTGTGTATAACTGCCTATAACTGCCTATAACATGCTAGGAACCCCCACCCTTGGGAAGGTAGAAATAGGAACAGGTATTCAAGGTGTTACTCTACTTCATAGCTAGTTCTAGGCCGGTGTGACATACATGAGACAGTAAGATCCAGCCTAGTGCTGGGTGGTGGTGGCACACACCTTTAATCCAAGCACTCGGGAGGCAGAGGCAGGTGGGTCTCTGAGTTTAAGGTCAGCCTGGTTTACAAAGTGAGTTCCAGGACAGCCAGAGCTACACAGTGAAACCTTGCCTCAATAAACCTAGTCTAATAGGTCACGGAGGGGCATCCCCTGCAGATTTCTTCCAATGCCTTCTTACCATTTCCTCTCAGAAATGCTCAAGGCTTTTCCCCAGCTCAGGAACCCCAGGTGACCCCTCCATTTCCCCAGGGTACAGAGGTCTGGCTTTGCCTTCAGGGCTCTTTCTAGCAGTGAGCCTCAAGAGGGGTAATTTTCAGGGGTGGTGTTTGTGGAGCACATTTTAGGAATTTTGAAATATGTTTGGTTTCAGCCAATTTGAGTTACATAAGACTTCCTTACTCATAACAACAGCCCTTACTCTCAAAGAAGAAACCAAGTAGCTGGGTTAACAGTTAGGTGTGCAATTTCCCGTATCGTCTGCTTCCCAGGGATTCAAACACATTCTTAAAACAAACCTCGTTTTTTGCCTTTTCACTTTTTCTGCCCTGGATGTTCCCCCTCCTCCGGACAATTGATGTCATCGTTCTTTGTGACAGGAATAATGTTCCCCAGCTGAGTGGCATCCAGGTGGTTTCCAGAAACTTGCACAACAGACTTGTCCCGCAAGGCATTGTGTCAGCATGCAACAGGAAACACACCACTTAGGCCACTAAAAAAAGAAAAACAAAATGCAACCTGTCTGAAGATGTTCCTGAGCCCTGACCTCGAGTTCCAAGCCTGGATTGTGGTCCGGTGCAGCCGGCAGGGGGCGCCCCAGGCCAGACCCAACCTGTGGGACAGGAATAGTTGGATGCGGGTGTAGGTGCTGCCCAGTGTGGGGGAACCGACCCCTTAGTGTTCCAGAAACCTGACCCTGAGGCTGGGTCAGGTTTTGGTGTCAATTGGCCTCCTGCCCCACTGACCTAGGATTGCCAGGGAGCATCCCTCCCCCGCAGAGAGAGCCTCTGTAGCGCTAGCTGGAGTCATTCCTCCAGGTCTTTAACCTCTAGGGTAGCCACCTCTTTCAAAAGATTGAAACCCTGGGCCTTAGACAGCTGGCCCATTTCACTGCTCTTAACAGTGTGCTCTCTGCCCTCTATCCCCTGCTGACAGGAATCTGGGGACGGGATGCTTCTGTGTCGTTTCTGCCTTTGGTGTCCTAGTTTGCTGTAGATTGCTGTGATAGAACCAACTTGAGGGAGGAAAAGGTTTATTTCATTTTACAGCATACACTCTATCACCAAAGTAAGCCAAGGCAGGGACTGAAGCAGAGATCTGCCGGCAAGGCTGCTTGGTGGCTTGCTTCCTCCCTCAGGTACCTTTCTGACACAGATCAAGCCCACCTGCCTAGAAATGGCACTTACATACATGCCCACCTCCCTGTCTCATGGAGGCCATTCCTAAATTGAGGTTTCCTCCTTCCAGGTGACTCGAGCTTGTGTCAAGTTCAGAAAAACAAACCAGCACATGGGGTGAGAAAGAAAAATACCCGCATCAGAGGCAGTAGTAGACTGGGGAAGACAAGATGGCTTCCAAGCACCTAGTGGGGCCAGGGCTCCAGTGGGGCTAGCTGAGAGAAGCTGTGGTGAGGAAGGAAGGATCCTGGGTAAGGCCACAGTTTGTCCCAGTAGGAGTTTTTTCTATGGAGGCTTTCAACTCTGAGCCACACTGGGACAAAGGGACTGACCCAAGAGAAGTATGCCATTTTTGACCCTATGGGCTTAGCTAGTGAGAATCTGCTTTGTCCTACTTACCTTTACTTTGATCTTGCATAGGGAGACCGATTCACACTCATCACTCTTGGTTGCTGGATCCACCTTCAGTCCTCAGGGAAGGGGAGACACAAGTGCCACCAATCCAACTGGCTCCCAGTGCCAAAATCCTCTGTATCTACCTGCTTCCCCCTGATAGGATTGCAGCTTTAAACTACCAAGAGGATGTCAAATTTGAAACCTGGTTGGAGAGCTGGCACAGCACTTACTGGCTGGATGGCTGTAGACCTGCACTACCTTTTTGGGCTGTTCCTGTGGGTAGCTCAGCAGGCAAGTGCAGAGGGGAGACTCTGGTCTCAGCAACAGCAGCTCCTACCACCCTCTGAGCCAAACAGATGCTTTTTATTAAGGCACAAAGGCAGTTTTACTTTGTGGTAATAAGGATGTGACAACAGAGATATCAACAACAACATCTCCCAAATGACAACAAGGAGAGGCCAGTCTATAAGCACAAGCGGAGCTTAGGAGTTTTCTCTAGGGAAAGCAGAAATGATGTCAGCTTTGTGGTCTTGAACTTTGTAGTAACAGCCCCTACATTGCCTCTACTGATTCCATTTTGTTTTCCTTGAGTCCAAAACGGATAGGAGAGATATTTTTTTTCCTCCACAAGGCTCTTTAAATACCTCAGACTTCCAGGTGTCCTGACCTGAGGAAGGCTGTCCTTGGTGAAGGAGATGCAGCCAATGTGGAGGTGAGGGGTGGGAGCGGAGGTCCCAGAAGCATCCAAATGTTCCATATGTCTGTTTGACATTGGTTCAAAAGCATGGAATTAGTAGACAAAGCTACTTCTTCCCTACCCCCTCTTATCTTCAGGGGAGGGATCAGTTCTCAGCTGGCCAGGCCAGTGTCACTGATACAGCTGGTGTCATCGTAACCTTCCACTAACAGATCACTCGACACCTACAGACCCAGGCAGGGTTGGGTCTGAATAGAGGATTGGACCCTTATTGTCCCAGAGCTCCAGGTGAAGCCATGATGCAAGGCACTGCAGAATGCAATGATCATTGAGCAACCCAGGGCTATATTGCTTCCTGCCTCTGATTCCTCTCACAGCTCCTTGGTTATTGGTGCCAGATAGGAGTTCATTGCTGGCTGGGAGCTGAGACAGAACCAAGATGCTATACAAGGAAAGGACACCTGGAGTGGCCCCAAAGTGAGGACCCAGGCCAGAAGATTGGTTCCAGGCATTGGTCTGGGCTGGAGATCTGCCCGGCCTTGCACTCTGGTGTGTGCCCCCTACAGCATCATGCTTCAGCAGATCCTGCATGACATGTACATCGACCCTGAGCTTCTGGCTGAGCTCAGTGATGTGCAAAAGCACATCCTCTTCTACAAGATGAGAGAGGAGCAGCTTCGGCGTTGGAGGGAGCGGGAGGCATGGGACACCCTGGCCCAGGCAGAAGGCCTCAGGCCTGCGAAAGTCAAGCGAGGTATGTGGCCTGGAGTCACCTATCCTCCAGGAAGTGAAAAAGTTAATGAGTCAAGACTGAGTGCTCCTTTCATATGGGCACTAGTGTTATAAAAGACAGGGATTTGAAACTCTTGTGTTGGGGACTCTGTTTGGTCCCCTCGCTTGGGCTTCTATCTTCCAACTAGACTTGTAGATGAAGGATGTGGCAGGGATTATGTAGGACCCAGATGCGCTAGAGATATGGGGACTTGCGTTGTCTTCTTGTATAAGACCCAAATGCTGAGAAGACACCACTGAAACTGTGCTCAGATGGCAATTGTATGTTAGATAATAGAGAACATAGTCTCTTCTATGATTCTTTTTCTGATTCTGGGAATCTAACCTTGTGCATGCTAAGTAGGCACTCTACCACTAGGGTATATGCCCCAGACCAAGGGCATATTCTTCCCACTCACTACCAGTTCTAGATGGTACATTGACAATATGTAGGTTCTTCTTCCCTACCGTGTAGACCGTGGTTCTTAGCTCAGGCCTGTACTTTGTATCACATCTCTCCAGGCATGTCTTCATGTGAGAGGATACTGTGAGTTGTGTTTGTAGTCTCACAGCACATCTGGCAGAAGGATTCTAGAGAATCTCCTTGTGCAACCATTCATTGTCTCCAAATGGCAATAGCAACTTCAAGCAAGAAGCAAGGGCACAACCTGTCTTTCAGGTGATTTATATTCAAAGGCATTTGTCAGTCAAAGCCATGGACTGATGCTAAATGACCTGCTTGTGACCTCTAGCATCAGACAGGCTATTGCACATTGCACAGGATACAAGATCCTGCCATGCAGAGTAGATTTGTGTATGTTGTACTTCCTTTATGGTGTTTGAATGCATTAATGGTAAATTCAGAGTCATCAATAACGTGTTGGTGTTGCATGCATTAAGGACAGAGATCAATAACGCATTTTTTCTTGGTTCCATTTGATCAAGAATGAGTCCAGGTTTGAATGTGCTACTTCAATCTCACTATGTCTTCCTTTGTTCTTTCTATGTTGTATGAGTCTGATTATGTGCCTGCTTGAAGGCTGTCTGTCGCTGTGTCTAACAAAGGATTTGCTCTCTCTTTTATTCAACATTACAGAAAGCATCACTTGCGGGGAGGAAATCTTTAATAAAGTTTTATGAGAGACTCAGCAACTGACCCCAAGTGACCCAGATAACAAAGAGTACCACAACATCATTGTTTATCAGACAATATTTGTATGTTGCATTGAACATTTGTAGTGGATATTCATTTTATAAGATTGTTTACAACATATATTTGCTCTTTTTGGCAAGTGATTATTATAACATACATGCAAAAAAAAGAGAGAGAAGTATGTTTTAGGGAGCAAACTTTAATAAGGTCCGTATCAGAGGCACTAGAGGCATTGCCATAGAGATTTTAAAAAGCGTATCAGAGGCACTAGAGGCATTGCCATAGAGATTTTAAAAAGCCACTTTAAACCTTTACTTGTCTTCATCCACAGGAGAAGGTTTGCAGCCAAGCTGGAATGATATTCTCCTGGAGGTTTCTTGCTGATTCAGAACGCTTGGAGCAGGACTATGGCCCATCCCCCATTAACCTTATTTGTTTTACAGGGACTGGTTCCAGCCAAAGATGGGTACAGTTTTCCTTGCTTTCAGGAAATCCTAAGACAGAACACACATGATGGAATGTGTGATTCCATGACGGGCACCCCTGGTAGGTTGAAGGGAGCCTCCTAAAACAGGTGCAGTCATCTGTCCTGATGCAGAAGCACAGGTTTCTTTTTATTAATTTAAGAGAGAGGAATTGTGGGGGACCAAATATCTCTGTTATGGAATATTTTGGGTCCCAGTCTCTGGCTGCTGTAAACAGCAGTGGTGCCAGGAAGCTCCAGGTCACCATTGTATTGTTAATTGCCACTAGGCTACTACTGTTTGCCATAGCCTCAGGGTAATATGCCTCTTATTTGCATCTGTATTGCCTAAGCATCTGAATAGGCCCTCACCTGGGCAGAGGAGCTAGAAGTGTGTGAATAACTTGTGAGGACAGAAAGTTAAAAGGGAAGAGGTGAGTGTCCAGAGCAGCGAGGGAACAAAGAGAGAAATGGTTGCCTTGTGTTATTAGCAGGATGGTTAAGAAACACCAAAAAAGATGGCTAATAAAGAAATGACTCTAGTTCCACAACATGGAACTGAGAGCTCTCTAAAGATGACAAGATGCCTATGTTTGGTCTTTATCGCCGTTGGATTGCTCGGAGCTTCCAGGTCCACACACCCTCACTCAGGTAGAACCTCATGGACTAAGGCTGAGACATGCTGGGTCATGACAGATATTCATGTTATAAGATTGTTTACAACATATATTTGCTCTTTTTGGCAAGTGATTATTATAACATACATGCAAAAACGTATGTATTACTCTTTAGTGAGGGTTATGGGAGCTGCCTTGAATGACACTTGGCTCCTAGCACATGAGTCAACATTGTGCCCTATGTCATACTATGACAACTGTGTGAGTCAGTATTCCCTCTGCTGATACTGGAGTCAGAGTCAACTATGTGCCCTATGGTAATACAATTCAAAGTCTCAAAGGCTAAAACTTGTTATAGCCTACTAAAGTCAGATGGATTTAGATTATAGCTATGCATTAGTTTAGTCAGAAAAAGTTGATCACATGGGAAATCAAGGCAATTAATGTTGGTTGTGGCATTGTCTTCTTAAAGGCAGATTAAACAAACAGGCAGAGTATACAGTAGGATAGCAATCTTAAGTCCTAATAATACCTCACAGTGTATTATTAACTCTGGCTGTGAGGTCCAGCAAAAGTTCCAGTCTTTTAGAATGTAAAGGCTATTTTTATCATAACACATTCCCATAACTCTATACTTTGCAACACAAATACACTTGCTTTCTTTTTTTGTTCCCGTGACCCTCACTTGGCCTCCATCTATTCATCAAGTGAAGTATAACGTTGATCTGTTCAAAGTGTTCAATCCAGGCCAAGTCCTGTTCCAGGGCTGTGCATAGAGGCCTGTTGCTGATCTAGCTTCTGCTTTCTAATCCAGCATCACTGTTGGTCTGCCACAATACATGCCATAGGCATGGTGGCAGCACCTAATCATGTCCACTCTTACCCTGGTCTGTGTGTATGTTTTTCTTACTGTTGGCAAGGACCTCTTATTTTATCTATCAGCATCTGCCCTACTCCTGGAGTCTTGGGGGATGCCTTTTGTGTAGGGAGGACTTACTTCTCTGTAGCTTCCTGGCACTAGGACCAACCCCAGGGGTAGCATTTATCACCCTGGCATTGTTTTTCATCATTCACATGTCTGGCTCTCCAAGTAGATTCCAAACTGCTAAAACTAAACTTGAAGCTAAACTTCACTGTGTTTTCCTCCCTTGGGGCCTAGCATAGAACTGGGACAATGCTGATTACCTGTTTTGAACAAGAAATAGCATGAACACTCCCCACTCTCCCAACCCTGTAGGGTGGTGGTAACAGAGCTCTGCCATGACTGTAGGGGGCTGGTGCTGAGTCCATGCTTCTTACTCTGGCAACCAAATACCAGCTGGGAGTCCACAAACCAAAGCTTTCCAGCCCCACTCAGCCTGAGTCCTAAGACCTTACATCTGTCTGGTAGCTCCTTTGGGAAGATGACAGATGCCTGCAAATTTAACTGCAAAAATATTTATGTGGAGATTTATCACATACTGACACCTACATTTTCTTATATAAATTATACATTAAACTCATTTGGGTTTCTGGTGCAGAAGATTCTTTTCTGGGTAATTAAATTTATGATTTATAAAGAATAGAAAAGAGGGGGGAGCTTGTTAAGGAATGTATGCCTCCTAGACTGAAATCCCATCCAGATTTCAGGCTTTGTGCATTGGTGCTGTCTCTGGGAACTGCTTAGACCTGACCCTAGAGAATTCTAGACAAGGGGATGGTTGTGCCTCAGGAACCAAAAGGCCATTTGCTGGAGGGTTGAGGGTGCATAGTGCTTGATTGCTGTCCTGGGATCATGATGAGGGGTCTTGAAGACCCCACACAGTGTCAGCTTTGTTCAGGCACATACCTGAAGGCTTCCCTTGAGCTTATTTCAGATGAGAGTGCTGAGCCTCACTGAACAGATGCAGTACAGCCAAGGACACCCAGCTGTCAAGAAGTGGAGTTAAATACACATCCCATGACTTTGACCTAGAGTCTCATAACTGTTTTCTTCCTATACAGTTCCTTCTGATCTTGGAAATCCAATTAAGTGAATAATCTGTCACTTTTTCTCTAGTCTAGACACTCACCCATATATTCTCTTATCCTAAAGGCTGACATTGATGAACTGTATAGTTTTAGCCTTTCAAACTTCAAGAAGAAGGATCATAGGGCACACAGTTGACATAAGTGTCAGGAACTAGGTGTCATGCAAGGTACCTGTGTGGTGGCTCAAGCTAGGAACATCTTTCTTTGTCCTTCTCTGTATACTTGCCTTCCCTTCCCCTAATTTGTTCTGAAGGACACATCTTCTGTGCCCCTGTTGAGCTGTATGCTGGCCTCTTGGGATCACTCTATAACCCTGCTCAAGCAGGCTCATCCTGAAATGGTATTATGCTCCTTCTGGCCATTGTCCCCACTCTGTTTTATTTTTTTTCCCTCTTCCTTTTCTGGGAAAAAATTCTGGCTTGTAGTAGGCCTGACTGCCTGTGAGCTCAGGTCACACTCTGATGGCACTTACATTCAGATTAGGGCATGATGTCCTGGCCTCTGTCTAGTTATGTCTGATGAGGTTGTGAGTAAACGCAGGGATCATGAATCATTCTAGTTCACAAATTTGGTGACTTTCTCAACTCTGAGGCATATATTTGGGACCATAGAAACATGCTCAAATGACAGCTTAGACCTCCATTGTCAGGGGGAAAGAACATGACGTTGGGATCAGGGGTGGGCACACATTGTTTCTCTCATTATGAGACACTTCTGTTTTCCCTCTCCCTTTGGAGCAA